CTGGAGATAAAGTAGAGAGATTTAAGTATTTTAGAGAGACAGAACTAGCATGATCTAATAACGGATTGGATATGCAAAGAGAAGAAGACATCGAGAATGACTCCTAGATGTTTGGTTTGGTCATTATGTGGATGGCGATTATCATTTACCACAATAGAAACAGGAAGAGTAGCCCGTTTCACTGTGTGTATGTGGAGGATGCGCAGGGTGGAGGGGTGTTAAGAATAACGAGTTCAGGGGCCGGCCCCGTGGCTTAGCAGTTAAGTGCTCACGCTCCGCTGCTGGCGGCTCAGGTTCGGATCCTGGGTGGCACCGACACACCGCTTATCCGGCCATGCTGAGATCACATCCCACGTACAGCAACTAGGAGGATGTGCAGCTATGACATACAACTATCTACTGGGGCTTTGGGGGAAAAATAAATAAATAAAATTATAAGAAAAAAAAAGAAGCATTTCTATTAAAAAAAAGAATAATGAGTTCAGTTTGGGACATGTTGAATTAGTGAAGATATCAAGTCAGCAAATGAATATATGGCTCTGAAGGGAGCAAGAGAGAGAGGGAGAGAAGGAGCGTTCATTCATTCAGCAAAAATGTATTGAGTGCCTCCTATATAGCAAAACTGTGATCATTGTAGTGGATACAACAGTGAACAAAACAAAGTTGGTCCCTGCCTCTATGGAGCTTACAATCTATGGAACACGTAGTAACACCAAAATAAATTGCAAATTACCCAACTGCTATTAAGGAAACAAAAAGGTTGCTATGACAGAGAATAAAGGGGGAGACCCAATTTAGATATAGTGGTCAGAGAAGACTCCTCTGAGGTGACATTTAAGCTGAGATCTCTACTGGATATGGTAGATTTGGAAATCATTCATATGTTGATGATAACTGAAGCATGGGAGTGGATGAGATTATCCATGAAGAATATAAAAAGTAAGGAAAGTATCCAGGATAGAATTCTGAGAAACATAACCATTTAAGAGATGGACAGAAGAGGAACACAAAAAGGAAAGAGAAGTTGGTTACAGTAGCCAAAGACAGAATATTTGAAGGAGCGAGTGAGCCTCAAATGCTGCCGAGAAATCAAGTAAAATAAGAACAAAAAAAAAAGTATCCATTGGATTTGATAACAAGGAGGCTGTTGATATCCTTAGCAAGAACAGTTTCAGTGAGATAGTCTGAGGCCAGACTGCAGAGAGCTGAGGAAAGGCTTGGGAGGTGAAGTACACTGAGTGTAGACACACACCCATCAATGTACTCCACAGTGGTTCTCTTTCTCAAGACCCTACTCAACATGCGCTTGCAAGGGTCACCAACAATCTTCATGTTGCCAAATCCAGTTGACCTTCCTTTGCCCTCATCTTCATCTCTCCAACAGTATTTGACCCAGCTGATTATTTCTTCCTTCTTGAAACATTTTCCTTTTTTGGTTTCTGTGACACCACATCCTCCTTGTTTTCACCTCTCACTGCTGTTCTTTGCTAACCTCTCCTCCTCTACCTAATCACTAGATATTGAAGGGACTCTTTCCTGGGTGATCTCATCCAGTCCCAAGGCTTTAGAAATTATCTATATGCTGATGAGTTTCATACTTATATGTCCATCCTTGACCTATGTCCTGAGCTCCGGAATGGTAAATTTATCTGCCTCTATGAATTCTCCTCCTGGATTTCTAATAAGCATCTATAACCTAATATTTCCAAAATGGTATTTTCCCTCAAAATGGTCCTCTCAGTCTTGCTAAAGGGTACAGTCATCCCACTCAGCTGTTCAAGATGAAAACCCAGATGTCTACCTTGACTCCTCTCTTTTTCTCATCTTCCACATCCAAATCAATAATAGTTCTACTAGTTCTTCCTAGAAAACACATCTCAAATTTAACTATCCTTCTCCATTTCTCTTGCCACCACTTTAGCCCACGCAGTCTTGCTCAGACTTCTCCTATGGCATCCTAACTGGTTTTCCTGCTTCTACTCTCAACGTCTCTATGGTCCATTCTCCATTCAGCAGCCAGTCTCTTTTAAAATTATATATCGGATAACGCCATTTCCGTGCTTAAAATCCTTCAATGGCGTCCCACTGCATTTAGAAGAAAATATAAATTCCTTACCATGGCCTACAAGTCCCTATATGATCAAGCCTCTCTCTTTGACTTTACCTTGAATCGTTCCTCCCTTCCTTCCTCCCAGCCTTAATGTGAATTCATTCACTTAAACACTTCTTATGCACCTAATTTGTGCCAGGTACCTAGTTAGGCATTGGGCAATACAAACATGACACCTGCCTTTGAAAAGCTCACAGTTTAGTGAGAGGAACAGACATATGAACAAATAAATTAAAACACTTTTGCAGAGTTAAGTACTTCCGCAGAGTTAAGAGCAAGGTGGGATAAGAGTACAAAGGACAGAGCAAAAATCTGCCTACAGGAATCAGGGAAGGTTTTACCAAAGAAGGAACAATTATCAGCATGCATTTGAAAGATGGCTAGCTGTGGATAAGGGTACAGTCTATGACCTAGAAATAGAAGAAAGCTAAACAGGTTCATATGAGGCTCTCCAATCCCCAAAAATACTTAGATAGTTTTATCTAGTGGTGAGTTAAGAATTCACAACAGGGAGACAGCCCAGTGGCATAGCAGTTAACTTCCCATGTTCTGCTTTGGCGGCCCGGGATTTGCCAGTTTGGATCCTGGGCACGGACCTACTCACAGCTCATCAAGCCATGCTGAGGCGGTGTCCCACATAGAAGAACTAGAAGGACCTACAACTAAGATATACAACTATGTACTGGGGCTTTGGGGAGGGGAAAAAAAGAAGAATTCACAACGGGCAGTTTGATCAACTGTTGGCCACAGAGTAGTACAGCACAAAAATGCCCCTGTCAGGTCATTACAAAGACTGGGGATGATTAAAACACAAATGGATATTTAGAACAACATTCCATTCATTCATTCAACAACTTTTTGAATGTCCACTACATATTAAGAACTATTCGAAGAGCTAGGTATACAGCAGTAAACAAAACCCACCAAATCTCTGCCTTCATGGAGCTTACATTCCAGTGCAGCATTCAGACAATAAACAAATGTATTATATAATGCTAGAGATAAGAGCTATGATGAGAAATAAAGCAAGGTAAGAAGTAGAGAGTGTTGGGGCTACTATCTGAGATATGAGAGTCAGTGAAGGTCTGACTGAGGAAGGAAAATTTGAGCAGAAGCCTGAATGAGGCAATTTAGGTATTAGATCAGTTATTCAACTCCACAGATTAGGAAAACACATTTTCAGACATTGCTGACTTCACCAAACTGGCCCTTCACTTAGTGATGATTAACTGACCCTTTCCATTTATTTTATCTTGATTATTTGACCATGTGTAATTGGTCCCATGATTAGGCAGGTTAAGATTCAGACTGCATATAATTTCTCTACTGATCATTAACTAACCCTGGGTTTAGTTATTAACCAAAGGTCTGCTCTTTCTCTTGTTCATGTGACCTTGTTTACATTTCTCGAGTCTCAGCTGGATTTTATCTCCCCATAATGTTAAATAGTATCTCAAATATGACGGCTAACCCAAGCAGCTAAAAGCAGGATGCAGCCAAAGCCTTAATTCCCTTTCCTCTATCTCCAGAGTTAGGATTGAGGGGTGAGACACCAAAGAAAAATTAAATCTACTGTCTTCAGCCAGAAAATGACTAAGGATCACCTTCATGTTTAGGAAAGGGACACTCTCTTAAGAATGAGAAGTTAGAACAGAAGGAGAGGGGCTGGCCCGGTGGCACAGCAGTTAAGTGCGCGCGTTCTGCTTCAGTGGCCCAGGGCTCACAGGTTCGGATCCCAGGCACAAACCGATGCACCACTTGTCAAGCCATGCTGTGGCAGCATCCCATATAAAGTAGAGGAAGATGGGCACGGATGTTAGCCCAGGGCCAATCTTTCTCAGCAAAAAGAGGAGGATTGGCATCGGATGTTAGCTTAGGCTGGTCTTCCTCACAAAAAAAAAAAAAAGAACAGAAGGAGAACAAGTGGTAAAATCTCAAGAAACATGCCAAGATAGGAATCTCATGAGGCTATGCAATAATCTCAGTGGGGAACTGGAGAGTGGAATGGTAAAACCAAAGTTTTTACAATTTGGGAACTCTCTCAAACAGTTGTCCCGTCTTCTCTCTAACTTCTACATTCCTATTGCTCCTGACCAAGTCAATGGTATACCAACATATCAGGTATCAGGAAAAGACAAATATTTTCTAAAATTCAGGTGACCAATTATGAACACTAAACGAAGAATTAAATATATATGCATTACTAAGAAAGGTTATTGAAAAATGAGAATGGGGAACAAGAAATTCCTTCTTGACCTTAGGTTTGTAAGTAAAAGGTTGAAAGTTAGACCACTAAATCTATTGTTTGCAGGGTTGGGCCTATATATTCAAAGCAATTTCTAGAGGATTCATTAACCTGCACAGAAAGATTATTAAGCCCCCCAGAACCTTCTTTATTCTTTTTTTTTTTTAGCAGTTTCTTAATTTTATTTATTTATTTTCCCCCAAAGCCCCAGTAGATAGTTGTATGTCATAGCTGCACATCCTTCTAGTTGGTGTATGTGGGACGTGGCCTCAGCATGGCCAAAGAAGCGGTGCATCGGTGCGCACCTGGGATCTGAACCCGGGTCGCCAGCAGCACAGCGCGTGCGCCTAACCGCTAAGCCACGGGGCCGGCCCTACCTTCTTTATTCTTAAAACTTACTTAACAGAACTAGGAAGCACAAGGCAAGATGTCAGCTACATAGTGGTTTTTACAGCCTATCACAGATTCTGGGTCAGTAAAAAGTTAACCCTTGAGATTTGTATAATCAGAGAAGAAAGCCAACAGAGCAGCCAACTGCTCTCCATTGTGTACAAATGCAGCCTAAAGAGAATCTTTGATAAAGAAATAAGATACAATTAGAACTTGCCTGGAGAATCAGATTTTCTTCACTTTTGTTTCTCATACCTGAGAGATGTGACTAAAATACTGCAAAGCTGTCTCCACAGGGCTTCTGAAGTACATCTTCTCCTGAGGTTTTAGCTATGAAGAGAGTAAGACAAACAATGAGCATATCCAAAAAGGAATGAAATAAATACTGGCAAATACGGCAAAGGATGTACCACCCTCTCTAGAGCATCTGGTACTATTTCACTGTGCTAAGAGGGCGATCACCACTGCCCTAGAAGATACAGACTATATGATCTAATTCTCCTTACCTGGTGCTTCTGTAACAGCAGCCACAAATAATTCTTCTATCTGTTTTTTAACTCTTTTTTTTATAATTGCTCTCTGCGAATTTTCTTTGTTTCTTTTCTTTTCTTTCTTTAAAATTCAGTGTTTAGTCACTCATCAACCATACTCCTTGTATATTTCCTACAGGCCAGGAATGGGATAAGATTGTTTGTAGCAGGGGGAGAAAAACTTACATTATCAGAAAGAGCCAGATGCTTGCAGGCAGTTCCACAAACAGCACATTTTTCTGGGAGGGGAAAGAGGAAAAATGTTTGATTCTCATGGGCATGAAGTAAGAGTTCCTAAAGTACACGGTGATAGTCAAGTAGGCTAGCACGAGAAGAATAAAAGAGGGCTTACTGAATCTAGAATATCATTGTGCTACAGAAGGTCATCACTTGAGCTCTGTTCTCTAAATCAGTATTTCCAAACTAGTATGTTGATGACAACTAATGCTTTACCATGTACCCATCTCTCCCTCTCTTTTTTTAAATTTTCAATTTTCTTCTGCAGGTGAGGGACAGTTCTAACTCCCCAGGAGGAGTACTGGAGCACATTTATAAGAATACTGGGAAGAGTACAAGAGTATCAATGATCTCAACTTTAAGTTACTCTTTTTTATCCTATCTACCTGACTGCAGGCACACATTAGATACTATAAGAAACTCCCCAATTATTCCTGCCCTCTTCTCACTTTGCTAATATTCCTGGATCTTGCTTTGAAGCTCTCCTACTCTCATTCGCTAATTAACCCAATCTGAAAGATGCAAAAATTAAAATTCCTAATCTTTCCTTGTAAGTTGAAATTTTAGTAGTGGTGCTGTCCATTGACTAAAACAAATGCCATGTCAGGAGAACACATCACATGACATATGCTTCACAGAGACAAACTGCTCCAAAGTGAGCTGCTGTTACCATAGTAAACAGCTTTGTTACATTAGCAGACACCTTAAAAGGGTCATGGGATTCATACAGAGAAAAAAACTTCTCCAGAGGCTACCTTACTTGACTCTTCTCTCCTTGGGGACTAAAGCTCTTTCCTAGTCTTTCGTCCGTGTTATTGCCAGAGTGAGCTAGCAAGTGCAAATCATTCTTCTATTTAAGAAAAACACAAAACAAGCAAAGAAACTTCCACAGCTCTCCATCACCTGCAGGATAAAGTTCAGGTTCTTTAGCCTGGTGTATAAAGCCTTCCATCATCTGGCCACTGCCTACCTCTCTAGCATCATCTCTTACCATTTCTTGCCTTATTCTTTATACTCTACCAATCCCAAGCATGTGTAGTCCCCCGCACTATGGTTTTATGATGGGGTATGCCTTTATATACGCTGTTCTCTTAAACTAGAATGATCTTCCCTGCCTTATCTACTCGGCAAACTCCAGTTTATTATTCAAAACTCTATTGAAGCAACACCTTTCCTAAGAAATCTTCCCTAATCAAAGCACTCTATCTGAAGTCCCTTTTCTGAGCCATTTCCATACCTTATAAGTATTTTAGCATTTAAAAAATTGAACTTAAATTCAAGTCTCATTTCTAAGACTCAATAGCTGTGAGAACTTGGTCAAATCACTTATCCTGTCTGAACCAGTTCCTCATCTGTAAAAATGGGTCTATTAATAATTACCCCTTGGAATTGTGGTGAGGATACATAAAATTGGTACACATAAAAATACTTTTAAACTGCAAAGGTATCACCACCACCACCACCACCACCATCATCATTTCTAATCAAATTGATTCCATAGGCTAGATCACTTCTCATTAGAAATTGCTCTTGTTATCAACCACTTTCCCCTATTCCTATTCATTATTCTTATTTTTTTTCTTTTCTCTAATCAGCCTGATAACCTTGTGGTTTTTCCTGCCGCAGACTTCAAAACACTGACAAGTACCTTTTGGTGTTCAAGTAATAGATACCATTTCCTCAATCATTCTTTATTAATAGATTCCACCAATTTCCATTATCAACAGTTTCCTACTCTATCCACACCACCTTTGGCCTACTAAGTTTTGTTTCCCAAGTCACACAGAGAAATGGCTAATCATTATTTCCAGGTTAAATAAATTTTTGCCTGAATCTGAAAACAATTAAGTCACTCACCCAGAGTCACACACTTTTTACAGAAAATATGGCCACAGCTGGTGACAAAGAAATGGGCCCCATCTTTTCGGAAACACTGGTTGCAGTGAAACCAATCCATGCTGAAGCAGGTAGAGAGAAAGAGTGTAATTAAAAGCTGTTCCAAAATCTATGTAGCAATGTTTGCTTAGCTTCTGCTACCTTATTGAAATGCGGGCATACCAATTGGTTGTAAGGAAGTATATATACCTCTGAAGTGAAAAAAGCAGACTGCAGACTATGTTATACCATTTTTTAAAAAGGAAAAATATATATATTTAGCAAAGTAATAGGACAATGATGAGATTTTTTTGAGTGGTGAGATTATGGGTGTGTGTGTATGCATCGCCTTTACACTTTTTTTGTTTTCCAAGTTTTCTGGATTAATTCAGGTACCAATTTGTTACTAGAAAAAACAATCTTAAGAAGAAAAAAAAAAAGAACCATCCACATCTTTCCTAACAGTTTCCTGTGATATGTCGAGATGGAGCGAGGAGGAGGTAGCAGACCAGATATAGAAGATCACATATTAGCCACTTGGAACACATTTTATCTAAGGGAAACATGGTTTGTAAACGACAATGTTGTCTCAGCTTGTACAATTTCCCTTCTACTCTACAGAAACTCAGAATCATAGATCTGGAAGGGGCCTTGAACATCACTCAACTGTTTGTCCAATCCCACCATTTTTCAAAAGATGTACCTGATGTTCACTGAAAATCAATGACTTGTCCAAAGTTCCATTTTACTTAGTGGCAGCTCTGGCATTAGAACCCAAGTCTCCTGATTCCCTGAGTAAAGTTCTTGCTACCACATTAAGTAAGCCTTTGTGTTAGACATGGCAGCCATACAAACTATATTTTCTGCCAATACTAATTCCATATAATTTGTTAAATACCTCACTATGTAAATATGACTTTCTAAGATTTTTAAATGAAGAAATTGACAGATCAAAAACACAGAACTGAGCTGATACATACTGAGCTGGAATTATTTTATACATTTAATGAATTCATGTTTAATTTCATGAATATGCTATTTAAGAATATAATACTTATTAGTTTGATTTCCTTTAAAATTAAATTGGCAAAATAATCAAAACAGAAGGTAATTTTTCCCCCATGGAAGTCTTTTCTCTAAAAAAAAAGTTTTTAAGTGGTTTATGGAGAGATTTGCCAAAGGAATCATGGCTAGTTTGCACCACACTTGAACGTTTTTGTCACATAAGGCAAGATTCATGATAAAAACTTACTGAATAAACAGTTCAATGCCGAGGCATTACACCGTCGGAGCCATAAGCTTCAGATTTCTATTTGTTGCTCACGGTACACTAACTTCTACAGTAGTCTAAAGAACTACTGAAAAGGCCCCACTACCTATGTCCTGCTTTGTTTAGGGACAGCAACAACAATTTTAATCAAATGGGTGGCCAGACGAACCCCTCATAAGAAGGGCAGTTAATAGGGTTTGTGAGGCCAAGACTCGCCTGGTCTCTAGGAGTGATGGGGATTCAGCAGTCTCAACTTTACCAGTAGTTCTTTTCCAGCTACCTTCCCTACCCACTTGGCGGCCGTGATCCCAGAAGGCCTCCGATCTCATCGAAACCATCCAGTTCTCCTCATGAAGAGCTGGAAATGGCGGGAAAATACACAGCGAGCCTAGCACCCGGGAGAGGCAAGAGGCTGGGCGTGGCCCGCTACGGCGTGTGAGGCGCGTGGGCGGGGCCCCGGCGGTGTACTAAGCGCGTGGGCGGGGCCCGGGCGTGTCGAGGCGTGGGCGCGGCTCGTGGCCGCGCGATGGGGATGGGGCGGGGGCGGGGGCGGGGCTTGCAGTGGGACAGGGGAGGTTGCGTTTTAATGGTCCGGGGAAATCTAATACCTCGTTTAAGATTGGGAACAATTAAGGAATGTAATCTAATCTCATACATGTTACTGTGGAAACAAGGTGAAAGTAAACCTAATAATGTTCCAGTAGGCAGTAACAGTAGAAAAATGTGGTCACAAAGCAAAATGAAAACTTCAAGCTAATATTTTTTAATGAAATAAAATAATAGATGCTTTGAAAGAACAGCAGAAATCAGAAATAGAAAAGCTAAAAAGTGATATGGATAGAGAACAGTTGGATATTAAGTGAGAACTAACAAATCTCAGGAAAAAAGTTTTGACTTGTTTTAGAAATAAAAAAAGGAGAAAAAAGGCACAATCAAGGGCTGAAAGGAGAATGATTTTCTAAAAAGAAAGAAAAAGGTTCAAGAGAAAGTGATATAGAAAACAAGCAAAAGAGATTTTACACACACACACACACACACACACGCACACGTTATTTATTTCCCCCAAGGAAAACCAGAGCAATGTATCAGAACAGATATTTAAAACAGCATTTAGAGAAAATTTTCCTGTAACAAAATAACGCTTAAGTATACATATTGAAAGGGCATACCGTGTATAGTAGAAAACTGACCCAGAACAGTCAAAACTAAAACATTTTCTAGTAAAACTCTTGGTTTTTAAAGATAAGGAAAAAATCCTTTGAGCATCCAGATAAAAAGTACTAGTCACTTATAAGGAAAAGAAAATTAGATTGGCATCAGACTTCTCTACAGCAGCATTTTATGCTAGAAACAATGATACAGCATTTTCAAGATTTTCAAAGGGAAAATATGATCCAAGAACTTTATATCCCCTTATATTGTGTTCAAGTATAAAGGCTGCTGACAAAAAAAAATGTGAACATGAGCTTTTCCTGAGGAATCCACTAAGCAGTGGTTCTCAAACTTTTTGGTCTAAGAACTCCTTTACATTTTAAAAATTACTGAAGACCCCCTCCCCAAAGAGTTTTTGTTTATGTGGATTATATCTATCAATATTTACCATATTAGCAATTAAAACTGAGAAATTTTAAAATATTTATTCATTTGAAAACAACAATAATAAATCCATTTATTATTAACATGACATGAAAAATAACTATATTTTCCAAAATAAAAACAATTTAGTGAGAAGAGTGGCACTGCTTTACAATTTTATAATCTGTTACTATCTGACAATGGAAAGCAGCTGGGTTAGCATATCTGATTCTACATTCACTCTATTGCAATATGCTATTTTGGTTGAAGTGTGAAGATCTGAACCCATCCAAATATGTAGTTGGAAAAAGGAGTAGTATTTTAATAGCCTATTCAGATAATTTGAACATTTTTTTTTTTTTTGGATACTATACCAAAATTCAAGAAGTGGGCGTTTGTTAAAAGCTAGTTGCAATGTGGGATCTGACACCATATCAATGAACATGTAACATTTTACATTTAGAACTGGTCATTTGGGCCTGCCCTGTGGCTTAGTGGTTAAGTTCATGCGCTCTGCTGCTGGCGACCCCGGTTCGGATCCCAGGTGTGCACCAACGCACCGCTTCTCCGGCCATGCTGAGGCCGCGTCCCACATACAGCAACTAGAAAGATGTGCAGCTATGCCATACAACTATCTATTGGGGCTTGGGGGGAAAAAAATAAATAAAATTGTAGAACTGGTCATTTGGAAAATATTGGCTTACTGAGTTATGCACATTGACATATTTTGTTATACAATATTAAATACTGACACACTTCATTATACAATATTTAAAAATCACTTTGTTAATATCACTATCTCATCAGAAAAGTCTTTGAGTATTGGGAAGCTGTCAGGCTCACAGTTGCAGATATAAGTTTTCCAAAATTCTAATTTTCATCTGAAAGCTTGAATTTTATCATTGGCAACAAATACTGTCACTTGTTTTCCTTGAATTGATGAGCTCATTTTGTTTATTTTTGAGAAAATGTCTATCAGATACTCAAGTCTGAATAACTATAGTTTGTTTGTTAGTTCTTTTAAGTAAAAATGGTGTTCCATAAAAAAAGTGATTAGTTCAGCTCATAACTCAAACCATCACATAAATGATTTTCCTAAATATAATCTTAATTCTACTTAAATATTCTGAGTCATGTAAAAAGGAGAAAACTTTCAAAAAATTTTTATGAAATGAACTTAACATTGATATCAAAAAGTGATAAAGATTGAACACACACAAAAGAAAACTACAGAACAGTCTCACTTGTGACTATTGATGCAAAAATCTTAAATATTATCAAATAGAATCCAATAACAAATTTTAAAAAGTATACATTATGTACAACCAAGTGATGTTCATTATAGGAATGAAAGGATGGTTAAATATTAGGAAACCCATTAATATAATTTATTATAGTAATATTTCTAAGAAGAAATATCATATAACCATCTCCACAGTTGCCAATAAAGCATTTGTCATAATTCATATGCATTTCTGATTTAAAATCTCAGCGAAGTAAGAATCAATGGATAGTTCCTTAACACAATTAAAAGTGGTGTGTGTGTATGTGTATGCAAAGCTAACATGTTTTTTAATGAGGAAACACTAGAGGCATGCTTGCTGGTTAGGAATGAGACAAGAATGCCACTACCACTTAACGTGGTATTGAACATTACTTTAAAAGGAAAAGATTAAAAAATGTCTTTTAGCAGATTATATTATTGTATAGTTGAAAAATCCAAGAGAAATCTATGGGAAAACTACTATAAATAATAAGAAAATTTAGTAAAGTAACAGGTTGTAAAATTAACGAAGAGATATACAGTAACATTTCCATATTCAAATAATAACCAATTAGAAGATATAATAGGAGAAAAGACTCTAATTAAAATAGCAACAAAGAAGATAAAAATGCTTAGGCAATAACATAACAGAAATATGCAAATAGATATGAAGAAAACTTTAAAACATTACTGAAAGGGACAAGAGTCAACATAAACAAATGGAAAAGCAAGTCTTGTTTTTGGATAGGAAGAGTCAATATCCTAATGATGTCAATTCTCCCTAAATTAATTTATAAATTTAACATGATCCCAATAAAAAACACCAACAAGGTGTTTTCTGGAATTAAACAAATTGATTATAAAGTTCATATGGAAAACTACCAAACAAACAAACAATATCCGGAAAACCCTGAAAATTTTTAGTGTCATGTGGGGTGGGAAGCTAGCCACACCCAGTATTAAGACATATTATAAAGCCTCTATAATTTAAAAAGTGTAGTATTGGTGCATGGATAAACATACAGACCAATAAAATAGAAAGTCCAGAAATAGAATCATGTATATTTGGAAATTTTAATTTATGATAAAGGTGAGGAATTCAATGAGGGGGAGGCATTGAATTTTTTAATAGAGTTGGGACAACTGGATAGACATTTGGAAAAATATAAAATTGGGTCTGTATCTCACATTATTCACTAGGATAAATTTCAAATGGGTCAGAAATCTAAATATAAAAATGAACCATCCAAGTACTGGAAGAAGACAAGGGTGAATACTTAAAACCTAGGAGTGGGGGAGATCTTCCTATGATCAAAAATCTAGAAACAATAAAAGAAAAGACTGATAAATTTCACTACATAAAAATAGAAGAAGACCTTTTGCATGGCCAAACTCACACACACACACAAAACCTACCACAGACGAAGTCAAAAATGAAGTGACAAGTTGGAAAATAATATCTTCCACCTAAATCACAAAGGGCTAATAGCTTTAATATATAAAGAACTTTTTAAAAATGAAAGCCAATAACTTGATAGACATTTGAACAAAAGACATAAACAGTTCACAGAAGACATAAAAATCGCCCTTGAACATATTAAAAGATATTTAACCTCACTTTTAATGAGATATGCAAGTGAAAATTCCATCAAAGTACCACTCTCCATCTATCAGATTTCCAGAAATCCAAATATTTCATAACATACTTTGTTGGCAAGGTTATGGGGAAACAGGCACTCTCATATATTGCTGGTGAGAATGCCAAATGGTACTACTGCTCTGCAGCAAATATGGCACTATCCAGGAAAATTACATATGCTTTTATCCTGTAATCCAGCAATCCCACTTCTAGGAATCTGTCCCAAAGATACACTGCCAAAAATATGAGATCAATTATGAACAGTTATTCTTTGCAGTAGTATTTATAATAGCAAAAGATTTATAACAACCTAAGTATTTATTTATCAGTGACAAATCACAGTTGAATATTATGCAGACGTAAAAAGGAATGAGAAAGATCTTTATACATAATTTGAAGCAATTTCCAGAATTTATTGTTAAGTGGAAAGAAAAGGTAAGATGGTTACATAATATACAATTATTTGTTTAAGAAAGGAGGAATAGAGATATAAATCAAAAAGAAACACTAGAAGATTAAAGAAAAATTACTAAAAAATGTTACTTACAGGGTTAGGAAGGGAATGTTGTAGAGGTGACAATAGGCAAGGAAGACTCCCCTGAATTTAACTTGTTATATAATTTTGTCTTTGGAAATCTAATTGTTTTACATATTCAAAAATAGAATTAAAAAGCAATTCCTAAAAATTGGAGGGGAGGAGACTGAAATAAATGAATTTAATTGTACATCAGATTGGTGACTTTTTAAACAAGTTTATTGAGCTAGAATTGGCATATAATCAACTGTATATATTTAAAATGTACAGTTTGATAAGTTTTGAAAATATGTATAAACCCTTGAAACCATCACTACAATAAAGGTAGTGAAGATATTCATCATCCCCAAAAGTTTTCCTTTGCTCCTTAGTAAACTATCTCTCCTAACCCTCCCCACACTTCTCTCCCCAGG